ATCATACCAAAATTTAATCGACCAAAGCTTAAAAAATTCATAATTAAGACAAAAATGCGTTAATTGTTATTCGGAAAGCAGTCCTTTATTATACTTTAGTAGGGTAATAAAACTGCATACTCGAAAATGAGCTTCAGAAACAAATTAGAATACTACTTTTTTGTCATTATATTTTTATATTAGAATACCACAATTTAATCGACCAAAGCTTAAAAAATGCATAACTAAGCCAAAAATGCACTAATTTTAATTCGGAATGCACACCTATGTTAGTTTTTATCACGTTAATAAATCTGCATACTCAGTTTAACATTTAAAGAGGTTCAATTTTTATCGAATTTTTGGCAATTTTAATGATGTAACCCCTTATAAAATTTCTAAAAGTTGGAAAATTCTGAAAAAAATAGATTTCGACCAGACATAGCAGGATCGACTCTCCCTTAATGCTGATCAAGAATATATTTGATTTATAGGGTCGGAAACGACTCCTTCGCAGCGTAACTAGTTTCAGAAATAAATTAGGATACCACTTTTTTGTCAATATTTATTTGTATTATCATACTACAATTTGATCGACCAAAGCTTAAAAAATTCATAACTAAGCCAAAAATGCGTTAATTTTAATTCGGAAAGCAGTCCTTTATTATACTTTAGCAGGGTAATAGAACTGCATACTCGAAAATGACTTCCTTGCAGTGTTACAAGCTTCAGAAACAAATTAGAATACTACTTTTTTGTTATTATTTATTTATACTATCATACCACAATTTAATCGAGCAAAGCTTAAAAAATTCATAACTAAGCCAAAAATTCACTAATTTTAATTCGGAATGCATTCCTATGTTAGTTTTTATCACGTTAATAAATCTGCATACTCAGTTTAACATTTAAAGAGGTTCAATTTTTATCGAATTTTTGGCAATTTTAATGATGTAACCCCTTATAAAATTGCTAAAATTTGGAAAATTCTGAAAAAAAATAGATTTCGACCAGACATAGCAGGATCGACTCTCCTCTTAATTCTGATCAAGAATATATTTGATTTATAGGGTCGGAAACGACTCCTTCGCAGCGCAACTAGTTTCAGAAATAAATTAGAATACCACTTTTTTGTCAATATTTATTTGTATTATCATACTACAATTTGATCGACCAAAGCTTAAAAAATTCATAACTAAGCCAAAAATGCGTTAATTTTAATTCGGAAAGCAGTCCTTTATTATACTTAAGCAGGGTAATGAAACTGCATACTCGAAAATAACTTCCTTGCAGTGTTACAAGCTTCAGAAACAAATTAGAATACTACTTTTTTGTTATTATTTATTTATACTATCATACCAAAATTTTATCGACCAAAGCTTAAAAAATTCATAATTAAGCCAAAAATGCATTAATTTTTATGCGAAAAGCAGTCCCATATTATATTTTAGCAGGGTAATTAAACTGCATACTCGGAAATGACTTCTATGCAGCGTAACTAGTTTCAGAAATAAATTAGGATACCACTTTTTTGTCAATATTTATTTGTATTATCATACCACAATTTGATCGACCAAATCTTAAAAAATTCATAATTAAGCCAAAAATGCATTTATTTTAATTCGGAAAGCTGTCCTTAATTATACTTTAGCAGGGTAATAGAACTGCATACTCGAAAATGACTTCCTTGCAGTGTTACAAGCTTCAGAAATAAATTAGAATACTACTTTTTTGTTATTCTTTATTTATACTATCGTACCACAATTTAATCGAGCAAAGCTTAAAAAATTCATAACTAAGCCAAAAGTGCATTATTTTCAATTCGAAAACCTTTCCCATGCTAGTTTTTACCAGGGCAATAAAAATACATACTCAATTTAAAATGTTCAAAAATTAAAATATTTGCTAATTTGTTACAATTTTAATAATGTTATCTTTTTTTTTGCAAAGGTCGCAAAAATGGTCAAAAATTTTTTTCAACCAGGCATGGCTAGATCCATTCAGCTCTTTATTCTGATCAATAATATATATGACTTATAGGGTCGGAAATAACTCCTTCACTTAGTTTTAAGCTTCTGACCATAATTATAATACCCTGCAGGGGAAGAAAATTATATTCATAATTACCAAAATTTTTAATGTAGTTTTGGATACCAATTTATAATTACTATTTTTTCTTTCAGTTTAGCAGCTTAAAGGCTTACACAAAAACTTAGTGGCTCGCTCCCCAGGCAACTTTATTTGCTAAATGCTTCCATATCTCTGATATTTCCCTATCGGTACACCGCATGAAATGCATTAAAAATTTGTCAGGCATAAAAACGTTCGCTCATTCTCTGAATTTAGTACTAAAAGTTGGACCACTTTCGATTTTCGTGTGGGCGATGCCTGGTTGAGGGGTTGTAAAAAAATTGGCATCAAGCTTTATTGGCCCAGTTTTGGCATGCTTTTTTTATGGTCTATTTTCCACGACTTTTTTTTTGTATATCCCTTTTTTTTTGTTGCGGCTGGCGCCGGCTGCACCTTGACACTTTTGCAATTGTCGCATGAAAATATTTTTTCAGCCGTTGTTATTCTTGCTCAATTTGTTTTTGTGTGCGCCCCCATTGTTTGTGCTGGTTGTTGTTCGGATTTTTTTTTTTTTTTTTTTGTATTTCCGTTTTTCCCACAATTTTTCTTTACTCGTTTTGTGCACTTTTTTATTTATGGTTTAGTGCAGCAAAATATTTCAGCATCAAGCGGCAAACCAAAGTGCAGAGTGTGAGGGCGGGAATTGGGGCCAAAAACTATGTGGGAGCCATTTTAGTTTTTCGTTTTTTCCTTTGACTCTTCAGTCGAATGAATAATCATTGGACACCGAGGGGAATAGTTTTCGGGGGTTTTTGGGTTTGGTAAATGGGAGTGAGACTTCTCTGGTAATGTTTGATAATATTTTATAGGAATGTTTGTACTCGTTTTGGCTTTGCATAAATGCCACCCGAGTGGCAAAGCCAAATAGAACTAGAATAGTACTAAGAGAAGTAGTACAAGTTGTTGAGTAAATACTTTGGCCAAGAAATGGGGGTTTTGGTCTAAAGAAAGATAAATAAAAGCATTTAAACTAAGGCCAGGACACACTTTAATAATGAATATCTTAAACATTACACATCTCTTTAAATTTGTATGTATTAAAATCTTGAGAAATTGCTTCCGACATTTTGCTTTCCATTTTGGAAAAGGCTCAAGGACTCAAGGACTCAACCCTTCTTAAATTGTCAATTTCTGTTCTGTTTCTTCCCTATTTTCCAAGTCTATCCCATTAGTAAAGTCCTAACCCCATTCAAAGGCCTGCAGCAAAGTAAACTAAGCAAATCTGCTGGCAATTTAATCCTTTTAAAATTTGCTTTAATTAACTCGAATAATAAGCAGCATCCGCACACTTTTTACCTCCTTCCCACATTTTCTTGCCCCTTTTTATGCTGTTTGTGGGCTTATGAGCTTTGGTACTTTGTGGTTGAAATTTCGTGAGTTTTCTTTTTTCCTCTCTCTCTTTTTTTTGCAGTCGGATTTCCGACATTTGCCAAAGCAAATTTCAGCAGAGCGGGACTAATAAGCCAAACAAGAGACAGTCCAGAGCGGGGGTGGAAGTTTTCCGAGGACTGCAGACAAAGTTAATACGACACAGCAGTTGGTGGCCAATTGAAAAGTTTATTAATAACCAGCAGAAACAGCAGCAGCAACCATAGGAACTTTAAAGGGATGCTTTGTTATTTATATGATTTTTTACTTTTAATTAAAAGCGAGCGGCAAGGCTGAGCGGAAGCGAGGGCGGTCTGGAAGGAAATGTAATTATATTTGAACAGCAGGCGAAATATGTTTTAATTTATTAAATTAAAATAAGCGAAAACAAAACCGGAAAGGCAAAAAATAAAAACAGTCAAACACAACGGGGCAAAGGAAGCAGCGAGCCGCAAACCGAGTGCCCAAAGCAATTTAAGCCAACGTCACACGCGGCGTATGCGTAATGTGCTCACAACAAAATCAACGTTATGCAAATTTTAATGCGAGCATAAGGCGGAAAGGAAAACGCGCTACGCTTGCCAGTTTTCTCTCGATTCCCGTTACGAGTATTGCTAGGGTATTCAATGGGTATATCTGTGGAGTAATACTAGAGTTGGAGCGAAAAACATATTTATTTAAGTATCAAGTATTAGTTAAAATACAAATTTAAGAAAATAATGTGGCTTTAAAATGAAAAATAAATAATTATTTAATGCTAATATATTTGTTTATCTGTAAGATAGGTATAATTAAATAATAATTCAACTGCATACAAGAAATATTTACTCTTCTTTTACTGACACAAATTGTTGCCTACTTTTCAGCGCACAGTACATAAGATTCAATAAATGGTATTAATTGCTTTAACTTTATTAAATAAATAATCTGAATGATTTAAACTAAGCAAATAATCTATTTAAAGCATGCCTCGAAGGATAACTTTCCAATTTTCCAAAGAATTCACCAGGGTATTACTTAAATCCTATCCAAATCACCGCCATACTCCTTCGTCCTGCCTCTATGCCCTACAGTTGTATTTACACACACAGACACATATATATGCTCGCCAGAGCACTCTCATGGCGCGAAATTACAGTCTTGTTGTAAGCACACATAGCACAAAAAAAATTGTAATGAGCTTATTAAGTCATATTAAAGTCCAAGTACAACCAATTTGATAAAAAAAAACAGCAACTGACAGCAGACAGGCGACACACTCGCACGCACACATGAGTTTGTTTTTAAGCTCCGTTTTTTACGATCGCATTTGGCATTAATGTTAATAACAAATGGCACAGACACACGACCCCATGTATGTGCAGTATGTAATTTATATGAGCGATGTAAATGAGCCTGGCAGCAGGTGGCTTAACATTTGTGGAGTGTCCAATATTTTTCATTCGCTCTCCATCATGCGGTAAATTGCTCTTAACCCGGCTTAATTGAGTATGAATCAAATTGCTGCTGAATTTGCACTCAAACTCGTTTCGATAGCTGACATCAAAATTCAGGTAACCTTGGAATAATATTTCAATAAATAAATAAATATTGCACAAAAAAAAAAGGATAATCAAAGGGAAATGTGGAAAGCAGAAGTTTTGGTGGCCAAAATGCAGCTGCTGGATCACATGTACATTGAAAGTGAGTTCAAGGATTGGAAAGTTTTAAAATTTAATTATATAAATAAGACTATTAGAGCCAGGGTTCGACATCCCTTTTTTTCTAATATTTACATATCAATTTTAATTAATTAAATTAATCCTAAACAGAACTATACGCTTTGTTCCTCAAACCTTTCTTTAAAAATCCCATTGGCCAGTTGCTGATATCCTTTGGGCTGGGCTACTTTGTCACCACTAAAATATCGCAAATATATACAACATTTTTAGGGAATTCCAGTGAATTTCAAACAAATGGTCTCAAGGATAAGAAAGACATTCAACTTCTGCCCACAGAAAGGGAGGTTCTTCTACTTACCATCAAGCAACTGGCTGCCTTTAATGGCATGAACCCAGATCAACCAGTTTATACAGCATTAAATGGCAATATATATGATCTAAGTCCTTGTCGGGAGAAGTTCTCCAAACAAGGTCTTTTCTCCCATTTGGCAGGATGTGATGCCAATGAAGTCCTACGTACAGCATACTATGCGATGGGTGTCTGTGCAGATGATTTAATAAATCGCTGGGAACAGAGTCTTATGGCTGAATTCAATATAGTTGGTTATCTGATTGATCAGGATATGGAGAGTAATAGCGAGAGTGCGGAAATGAGGGACAAGAGTATCATAAATAACTCGATTACTAAAGATGACCTTGGCGAGCCATTAAAATAGAGTTCATTAAACTGTAATTACTTACCTTTAATGCAAACTTGTATTGATATTTTGTTGCATTGACAATTTTTATTAAATATTCACGAAAATATACAGAAATTTGTGTAAAGACAATTATTACAGGAACTTATATCCAGACTTGGGTAATTAAATCTAAATAAAGGGCAGTCTCCAGATAGGATTTCAGGCAGAAATACACTTCTCTGTAGTCATTTATCCCAAACTGGATTAAGAACAAAACCTATTCCCTTGAGAAACACAATATTTTTGTAGGGCTCGAGTTTTCTAACAAATAGTTACCATTCTTTGTAGAATTTCGCTTTGACTGAGGGGTCAAATTAATTTCCTCTTCCTTCTTTTATCGTTTGTCCGAGCCCTTGGCATTTGGCCGGAAAGTTTTTTTCCGGCTTTGTCTTGGAATTTTTTTCTTTCCACGCCCTGACAGGAAAATATCGACAACGGCAAATGTCGATATCAACAAATTGTTTGTCGTGTTTTTCTTATGTATTTTCATACACGTTTTTTTCTTAGCTCTTGGCAGTTGGCGCTTTTCCTTCTGCGCTTTTGGCCCATCAAGATGTTGACTTTGTCAAGTTGTCGCCGAATTTTCAGGGCTTCGGATGTTTCAGGTTTCCCATTGTGTATGTGTGTGTGTTTGTGTGTGGAAAAACTTTGCGCCCAACACGCAATTGACTGAAATTGAATTGAAAGCTGAAAGCTGAAAGCCAAGAAGTGATAAGGAGGGCGGTAAGAAATGGAGGGGTGTGGGAAAGGGAATGCCATCAGGTGCTACACAGCTAATAAAATCAAAATTACTTTTTGCCAGAGCAAAGTTTTGCACTCGACGTGCTTAAGGAATTTAAAAAAGTTGTCCAAAAATTGTTAAGCACACACTTCAAATTCAGCCAAATGTGCAAAAGGAAACACACACTCACACTTAAGTACCAAGCACAACAACAAAGAAAGGTAGTGAGTGAGAGGGATAAAGTGTTATTTGAAGTGTCGAATTTGATCAAGCGAAAAGGTGACAGAAAGGCTCAAAAGTTAACAGAAACCAGGGGCCAAGAATAACAAGTGGAAAGAGGTCCTTGAAAAAGGTTGAATCAGGATTAAATGGAATGGCCAGTCCGGGAAACGGGCATTTGCATAAATTATCCAATGGCTTGACTTGTATTCCCAGAAATCTTAGTTAAAAATGAAAACAATTCGGAAAGTGTTTTTTAAATCAGTTTATCTGCAAACTATATATCAAATGTATTTGTTTTTTGTACAATTTATCTGGTATATCTTACTGCCCCTTCTTGACCCTCTCTTAAACTCATAATTTTTGCACTTCTTTTATATTATTCTTACATCCAGTTTGGCCACGCCTCATGACTTTGCCATTTATGGTTCTCTCTCTAGAATGCCTGGTGAACTCAAAATTTATTACCATCTGGTTGTCATGTGCAAACGATGCTCTGCCCCTATTTTCCTCCTCCACCCAAAACACCCCAGTGTCATTCATTCATTTTAATGTTTTACGTGACCCATTCGAAATCGAATCGAATGACTCATTAAATGCAGAAAAGGCTAAAACAACAGGAGGAGACGAAGTAAGGAGGACTATGGAAAGGATATGTTAGAGGTGAAAGGCAATTAACCATAAGAGCTTATGCCATCGAACGTGCCTAATTGCCAGAAAACACTACTCGAATCTGGTTTTTCGTATTTACTTAGTGTGTTAGTGTGTGTGTGTGTGGCAAACAATTAGTTTTCCAATTTGGAAACCGAAAATGTTTGCAAACAACACAAATTAAATTCGCCTGAATTGCAATTGGAGGGGGGAAAAACGAGAAGTAGCAAAAGTGGCATGGATCTAGATCCTTTTTCTTTCCGGCCAAAGTTTACTTTGCTCTTTGCCAGCCACTGCTTGCGGAGTTAATTTAATTAGTTTTCATTTATCTAAAGTACACGCTTCATTACATAATTTAACAATTCATTAGACTGAGCCGGAGCCGGAGCTTGAGCTGGAGCCGGAGTGCTGTGGTAATTGAAAAGCGCGTCACGCTCTAGTCCCTCGTATTGCCACCCGGCTCATCCTTTGATCCCTCCACCCATATACGATCCTCCTGTCGAATCCTTCTTCCACCTCCTCCTCACTTAGCAGTCTGCTTTTTATGTTCACTTTGTTATTATTGCCGCCAGACAATTGCTAATGGTCGCTGTAATTATCATTAAATGCTTCGCTTTCTTTTTTATTTCTTTTCCCCATTCCACCATTTTCCACCTACTTCCCCCCCCCCAATCTTTTCTATCTTTTCTTTTTATATTTTATTTTCCTTGGGAACAATGGTCGTGGCTCAACAGCTGCTGGCAACATTTTAATGTGTTTCTAAAAGGATTAAAATGCACTTGGCTCCTTAATTCGAATGCAGAGTGATTTGTGAGTGAATAAATTTAACCATTATAGTTGGAGTTTTAAGCGGTGACTTGTTTAGTGACTTTAGTTCAATTTAAATTAGAATAAGAATCCTGAAGAAGTAGTTAAAGTAAGCTCAGTTTTTTTCCATTTAAAGCTTTCTCTTTAATCCAATAGCTTCACATAAGAAATCTCTTCAGTGAAAGCCTTTGTAATTACGTGATATAACACATAGATAAATCTCTTGCAGCACACATTCTCGACTTTACTCTGTATGCAATGACATTTCCCACATTTTTCCATATTTTCGCTTGCAAAAGGCTTAAATTTGGCCAACAACTTGCATGGCGACAAGTCAAAAATGGAAATGGAATGTTTTTGGGCTATAATTTTTGCTTCCTTCTTTTTTTTTTTGCTGTTTTGGGTGGAAACATTTTGATGTTTTTGCCAGGACAGAATTTGATTTACAAATGGCATTCGGCTGGCGTCCATCCCCACTCAGACTTCAAGTGCTTCTTTTTTGAAATTCATAAATCCATGTTACCCAAAAACGAAGCGAAACAAAGCGAAACGAAACGAAAGCTGAACCAGTTTCGACGTCATATATCAAGCTTAATTGCAATCCAGAGCTGGGGAATGCAATTTGGTAGCTAAAGAGTTGACCTAAAGGCATTGTCGGCAAATGTCTAGACTCTAGACTGGACGACCCGGGGTTTGCTAATAAATTTCTCGGAAAACTCCGGCCTCGGCCCATTAAAAGTGGCCACAGACTGGCTGTCTCGGGTGCGTTATGCGAGTACTTTATATTCAAAAGTGTGTAATTTGCAAAAATGTCGGCTCGAAAGTGTTGGTAGGGAGCACTCCCCAGGCACTGGAGAGGCAGCAGCTGTGTTCGTCACATTAACCTGATGCCACAGGGGGAAAAACAGGGGCAAAATGCTGGCCAAGTGCGCAGCAAATTACACAGGGAGAAAATTTCAAGTCTTTTGATATATCAAATATTTCATTTGCAGTCATTAGAGTACTTGTAAAAGCTACAAAATACATTTTAAATACATAATTCACTTGATTTGAAAAAGGATAGGTGCCAAGAATCGAAGCTAGCTTTTTAAATGTATCATATTTATAATTTGTATTTCATTTCATTTCTAAATTACTTGTTGCATTTGATTTTCTCAGTGCATGTTGTGGAACCCTTAGGCTTACGGCTTTTGTAGGTCGTCGACATTTTCCTCCTTGTTGTTGGCTTTGTTGTCGTCGCCAGGTCGCGGTTAATTATGTTGTTTGTATGTCCTTACGCATACCAAGAGGCAAAAAGGACGACCTCGCTGCCGTCAGGCCAATGTGTGGGTGCGAGTGTGTGTGTGTGTGTGTGTGATTATCGTCTCGGATTTAATGCGCACTTTGATGTGAAACATTGCTAATTTGGCTTTTTATGTTCTTTTCTCTCACTCGTTTGTCGTTTTGTACCCCAAGATGATGATGATGTTATTATTTCAAAGGAAAAATCATTTTATGTTTTGTATTTGAGTTCTTTGCAGTATTGATTAAATGGTAACATTTTTAATTTTTCTATACTATTTCTTAAATCATATGTTTATGAGAAGTTATATATGCATTAACTCAATACAATTTATAGTCTAAGCAACCCTGACCTGTCAAATTATATTATTTCTTGTAACTTATATATAAAGACTAATGCAGGTCTCTTGAAAAGTCAATCCATAACTTAAAGACCAGGACATTGCCAGCTATTTGCTTCATGGACTCTCCACAAACTGTATTACTTTATTTTAAGTAAAATGAATTTTTCGGCATTTCCCTTTGACCTTTTCATGGCCAGTAATGAAATTGCAACAATTAATCATATCGTATTGCTCAGGCTCAGGCTTCTTTAATGTCCAGTGATGATTTACGATTATAGCCAAACACTTTTCCGAGCTTAATTTTTCAGTTTACTACAATTTCCCAGCTCTTGAAGTAAATTACCCCTAAAGCTGGCAACGTTGGTTCAATTAATTCAGGGAAAAAACAACAATCGGCTTACAAGGTCCATCGATTTTTTTCTTTTGTGGGGCAATTTGCGAATTGTGAAAATTGATATATGGCATTTTCACACTGGCATCTCACATTTCACTCTTCACTTTTCACGTTGCTGCCGATGACAGGCAACAAAAACCAAAGTCAGAGGGGAAAAAGCAGTGAGGGAGCTCGAAAAAGCTAAAACAAATGGCAGACATAAATCCATCATCATCAGCATTATCGTGATGGCCGAGAGGCAGCCAAGCGTTTGAACAAATTGACTGCAAGCAATTTGTGCGAAGAAAGTGCAAAAGAAATAAGGAGCATAATTTAGACAAATATTGCTCATACGCAGTGGCTCATTTTGAACCCAACTCGGGTAGTTAATTTAAATAAATCGACAGAGTCGAAACATTAACTAGTTCGCACTTTGGATGAAGCCCATCATCCCTGGAAATAAATTCTGATTAATAAAGTGAAGTGTTTCCCGGAGCAACAAGGTATTTATCGGATTCTTTGTCAGGATTAATTTTATCCAATCGAATTCGTATTGTAAGCTGATAGTTTCATAAACGATTTGGCCGTTGGCAGAAATTTCTGTGTTATAAAATCAAACGTGTACACAGAAAATATATATAGGTTCACAAATATCAACAATAAAATCCAGAAATGGCAAGTATAAACCACAAAGAATGCCTGATTCAAAAACAAAAATGTTTTCCATGTGTATACCAACCAGTTCAGAATATTCCCTGATAAATTAATTTCAGCTCAAAGTTTCATTCCATCTGCCCGTCGACTCCAAACCATTTGCTTTTTGTTTGTTTCGTAATCGACTTACCCAAAAGGGCAAAAGCCAAGACCAGATATTTGACTATACATTTTGACCAAAATATTTGGCTAAAATCAACAAACAAACTAACAGTTTGATACAATAAGCAGCAGCAGCAGACTGACACAAGAGAGCTCGAACAACAATTGGCTAAAACAGTTTTGCACCCTCGGGCTAAAGGAGAAATAAACTGCGAGTGCTGGCTAAAATGAAACGAGTGTGGGAAATGGCATTTAAGCCACTCACAAATCCTTGCAACTCATGCAGTATGAACAAATTTCATTGAAATGAAAAGTTTTAGCAACTAAAAGGGGGGATTCATAAAGTTAATTTAATTATTTACAGAAGACTTCTACGTTATTATCGACGCCATGGTTGCTATTAACAATGCTGTCTAGTGTTCCCTTAGTGTTTATTGTTGAATGTTTTATATAAAAAAAGTTACAGAGAACAATAGCAGAATGGATTCAGCTCAGGATTCTGTATGCAATCATTATTGTTAGAATTGTCACCGCCGAGACGAACCACATCGCCAATGAGGTGGATACTGTTCTTGTGTATCCTTGTCATTCCTTCAAAATAGGATATTCCCGGTTTCACCTTCAATCGCACTAGGATATCCTTTTCGGTATAAAAAAGACTCTTGTGTCTCTTCTTTTTATTAATGTGATTCAGACTTTCGGGAACAGCGAATTGAGCACTGACAATCGATTCCAATTGCAAAGGCTTACAGACGGGATACTCCTCTATTAACTTATTTATCGAATTCACAATGATATTGGCCGACTGCATGGCTATAGGATTATCCACAGAAATGGCCACTTGCTTGTGACACAGACAAAAATGACTGGATATATGCGAGGTGTCGCAAGTCCTCTCAATGGGAATGGGTAGGAAAAGGCTTACACCTCTAGGTATTAGCGAAGCATTCCGTGTTGACAGTTCCTCCGATTTCAGGGTGATAGATTCGTCCTCCAGGGTTTTGGGATGCAAGAGATGTCTCAAGGTCTCATGAAGATCGTACGTGGTCACCAGACTATGGGAATTACCAGCCAAATTCTTGATCGCCATCGGATATTTCTTTCGCATCCAAGCAGGATATAAGATCGACAAAAATGGCTGAGAGTCTTCGATCATGCCTTGATAACTCTGACGAAAGTTTCCCCATCTAATGCCATGATCGGACATAAAGATGATTATGGTATTATTTAGAATTCCGACATTGTTCAGGCGTTTCAAAAAGCGCTCGAATCTCTTGTCCACAAAGCGGGACATATAATCATGTACGCCATTGCCCCACCAGTAAAAGGAGAAGAAAGGATAACGCTGCATGTGCGGCAACAGTTTGTAGTTCATCTCCATTAGGACATCCAAGAAGCATAATGCGTTGTCCATTTTAATTCTTGATTGTTGTACATAGACTTGAGTCATCAAATCGTGAAAATTATGATCGGTGGTTTGCTTAGCGAAGCCTGGCTTTCCATCATGGAACATTGAGAAGGGAGCCCAGTCCTCGCCCCAACTGGTATTGTATCCCGCCGCCTTGTAGTCCTTCCAGATCAAAGGAAGGTCATCTAATTTCTTCTTCCAGTTCCAATACTTCTGGCTCTCCGCCTCACTCAGACCCGTAAGCATGGGAATCAAGTTTTGATAGGAATTTACCCCAATCTTATTGAAGCCCCAGAACTCCACGTGGGATGTTTTCTTGCGAATGTAAGCCAGCGTTTTTGGCATTTGCCGAAGAAATTGAAGATGTGAGACGGAGTCCAAGCCCACGATCATAACGGAAATGGGTGAATTTCCACCCTTGGTATTCATGTTTTTATTCCAGAACTTAAAGGACGTCGGGGGAATAGCCAGCAGATTCTGCGGTGGCGGACTAATAAAGTAATGGGATTCGTCGCACAGAGTGGTATTTATCAGTGAATTATAGCAAGTTACTTGCAACTGAAGCACATCCTTGGGCACCTTAATGACGTAGGGATAATCCAGATTGAACCTGCCCAGGTCGATCAGTGTGCTTTCCAAGTGCCGAGTGCTATGAAACTTTGACCAATAGCAATGAATCTGTCCTTCGTGATTGAAACCATAATTGTCCAGAATCCGATCCATATCGGGCACCAATTTTAGATACCAATTTCTATCCATTACCTCCGCATGAAACCAATTGGTGCTCAGGCAGCTGTGATGGAACTTACGATGTGGCCACTCCCTCTTAAAGTACTTGGCAATACGCGGATTCATCACATCCATGGCCTCGATGCGACATCCTGGCGCATTCACAAAGAACGCATTACGAATCTTTCCAGCCTTTTGTTGGGTTCCTATGAAAAGATACAAATACAGAACCAAGGCTGACAGGATCACTGCCAGACCCAACTTCCGAAAAGATTTCTCGCCCATTCTGAAGAATTATCTATCTATTCACAATTTCTATTTTGAAGGAAAATAGTTGTTTGTTTAATATTTTTAGAAAGCCTACTATTATTCTCTTATAAGCAAGTATACTATCCTTTCAGCTTGTTTAACTTTCACCCAAGATAATATAAAGTTTTGATATTTTTGCGAGAGTGTGTGTGAAATGAACTTCCCATGAGGTGCCGCAATATTTGCCGTCAAATGAAATCCCAACATCCGCAGCCACATCCACATCCACATCCACCTGGTGGCTAACCAGGTGACGACAGTCGTTCCCTTCCGTTACGCTGCAGTTGCTAAAGTCTGAAAAGAAATGCGACAGCTGCAAGTCATCAAGTCGGCGGCGCCAAGAGAATTCGCTACAAAGTGCCAAAAAAAAAGTAAAGATATTCAAGGGGAAAAGCGCGGTGAAAATGCACAGAGTGTCGCACACTTTTTGTCTCATATTTCTGTCATTTTCCCAGGCGCCATTTTGTTGGCTAGCAATTTAATTTCATATTTTATGCAGTCAAAAATTTCGCGCAGAGCATGCGACAAAAATGGTTGTTCTCTTCCAGGTTCAGGTTCAGGATCTGAAGCTGGTCCTGTTCCTGTTTCTGAATTCCGCTCCCGGTGCTTTTGCTGCAGTCTCAAGGGGGCCAAGACAGTGGCTGTGGTTAAGGTGCCTTTGCCGGGGTCATTATAAAGTCAGACCTGATGGCGGCATTCTCATCTGCTCTTGGCAAGCTTGGATATCAAAAAGAATAATGATGTCAGTGCAACTTTAAATGCAAGAAATTTAAGGAGCAAAGAATTTAATATCACTTCTGCTTCTGCTTGGCTGAAACAAACAAAAGAATGTCCAACACCAAACCAATTTTTTATTGCCTTCCTCTAACTTGTGTTTCTGACAGCCCAGCAACTCCCACCAATTATCTGTGAGTTATAACTTTTGATTTTGCACGTCGAACTTCTACCAATTAGTGGCCTCTGTCACTGGTTCGGAGTCTTTAAAAGTTTGCCGCATGAGTTGGCAGATGCCAATGGGCCACCTGCGGGGCAACTTTGGCCAACATCGACATTGGGGATAGATAGGCTATATGAAGGAGCGGATATGGCTGGAATGGAATGCAGGTGGTGGTCAAGTCCTGCGTTAATACTGCGATTCCGAACTAATGGCATAAGCCGCTTATGTACCATGTACTATCCTCTCGCAGTTTGCTCTTACTTTTAACCCACTCGCCAGGAAAAACTTTTTAGGATTATAGCGGATTTGCTCAGAGCACACATACACATGGGGAAAATTTGTTGAAACTATAAATTACTACAGACTATGGAGTTATTCTGTCTCCAGTAAACTATAAAAAATACAGATTTAGAATAACACAATCAAAAACTACGAAGAAATGGAAATCAAAGTATGTAGTCTTCAAATATGATCTCATCTTTACTAAAAACTCTCTTAACTCTTTTCGATTAGAATATGAAACAATTATATTTAAAATACAATTATTTCCTCTGTGTAGTCAGGGAAGAAGATAAACGAAGGGGTGCTAAAGAGTGGAATGGCTGGAATGGTAGCAAAAAAAAAAAAACAACAAACGCTTTATAGTTTCAATATTTGCCTTGTCCTGTTCAGGAAAATCCCCTGGGCACATAGAGCAACCAACGCTGCTCGGATTTATAAATGGACTGGCAAACATTTAGCCAAAACTTAAAGACAGGGAGAGGGAGGGAGTACGGGTAGGTGGTACAGAAGGAGTGGAGGTTAACTGTGTGCTCCGCCTTTAAAGGAGTCGAGTTGAGTTTTATTGTTTTTGGCCAATTAGTCTTGGTCTCTAACCCGTCTCGGCAATCGTCTTGAATCTCTCCCCAAGGTGTCCTTAGGCCAACGAAAATTTATACACACTCCTTTTAGGGTATCCTTTGGCCCAGGGAAGGTAAATATGTTTTATGAATCGACATAAAATCGAAATGGAGCCGCAGCTTTTCAAATTGTTTTTCGCTTTAATAACTATTTTCCTTAAAATTAAGCTTACAAACTTTAGCATTTTATTTTCATCAAAGAATTTTAATTACTACATTTATTGTTCTTCAGTTTATTTCTAAATACTTTACTATACTTCATTCTTAAATTATAGAAATATTAAAGAGAACCTTATGCTTCGACTCTTTGAAATTTGCATTTTCCATACTTCTGTCTTTTTGCATTTTGTGTGTAAAGCTGGGAAAATGTAGATAGCTGGCGAAAATTCCATTTTGAGTGCTCAAGTTGCCGCTAAAATGATTTATGTGCCAAGTTTATTTATTGCACCTCAATGAATCCCCATTTAAATGTTTGGCAAGCGGATCCGGAAACCCGGAGAAGTCGCTGGGCAAACATCCGGCTGACAAAAAAAAAAACAAACAAACATTCAGATAATCGAATTGGAAAGCAGAAAATGGAAATGGAGACTGCCCAACTAGAACATAAAATGCATTCAAAGCTTCAATTGTTCAAATTTAACTGAAAAAAATGTAAATATTTATATGGATTATTATGTTATTTATGGCTGAATGAGGAATTGGGAACATATACATATAAATTTGCCAAACTGATGCTTTTGTTGAGCAAGGGAGGATATATTTTGGGCATTCAATTGGAAAGATTTCAGCGCAAACAGATGGCGAACAGTGCGATTTAAACAAGGGAAATAGAATCAAAGTGCAAGCCAAAAAAATGTATTAATCTTTCCAAGTACACATCTTTATAATCAGTTTATTATTGCTTTATTGAACTCTAAAATAATTCTCCTAATTATGAGCTCCAGTGAACCAAACATAAGCCATAGTAAAATTATATTAATTGGGTGGCTGCTTAATGGAAACTACCGAAATCAAGGAAATATTTAAGCTCAATAATAATTCCTGGCTGCAGCTAAATTAATTAAATAGTTCTCTCTCTGAATTTAAAGGAAAATTCACGCACGAAATGAGCAAATGATTTATATTAGTTATTAGAAAACCACTTAAAAGAACCATCAAACACGCACAAAGGATAACCGATGCAGACAAGGACAATACTGGCAAACTAGCAGAAGTCGAGAGTCAGGACGTGAAGACAATGGGAGAAGGACCACAGAAACCGCAGTCGTTCATGACGTTGGTGAAAACAGGACCAGGTCAAGTGGATGTCCTGGAGACGGGAAGCCATATCCTGACGCAAAAGCAAGCCACAGATCCAATAAGGCAGCTAATTGTTTAGGTTGGCGTCAGGATATTTCATTTGATTTGTCGAACATTTTCAATATTTCCTGAAAACAGCTAACATTCCCCAGTCCTCCACTTTTCCCCAACTGAATTTCCCAAAGGAAAACCTCAAGAATTCCACCTTTCTATTTCTTTGCCCGGCCATTCCAAACAATAAGTTGTCATTTTACTGCCGAATGCTTAACCTTGTCCCCAATCGTAAAGGGAGCAGCCAGCCTCCAGTTTTTCCCCCAATGCTTTCACTCCAGATGTTGCCCAAGATTATTTTCACCATTTTCATTGTGCCCTTTGTTCGGTTGCCTAGAAGAGGAAAAATTGAGGAAAAAAAGAGGAGGAGGAGCAGGAGGTGAGTTTTCGTGGGCAGAGCCTAATCAGATATTTACGCCACAGGCGGTGGCTCAAAGTAGAAAAATATCCCGCGGAACACCTCCTCTACACAGGGAATAAGTTTTCTAGTTAAATAAATTTCTTAAAAAATTAAAATTAAATTTTGTTTAACTCTAGATTTTTTTATTCCCTTGCAATGTATTATCAGTTTACCTAGAATTTTTTAATCATTTCCGAACCTATAAACCATATATGGTAATTTTTTCAAAATTTCCTAATTTTACAAGGGTTACGTAGTTAAAATTTAAACAAATCGGTAAAAAATTCAACTTTCTAGATTTAAAAACAAAGTATACATATTTGTTAACTTTATAAAACTAGTGCAGAAATGCTTTCCGAATTGAAATAATACATCTTTGGCTTAGTTTGATTGATTTAGTATTCGGTTACCTGCTCCAATTTTAAGCTGCAAAGCTACCCCGAAGCTAGTTTCCTTTCTTATTTATAGATTTATTTCTTCCTGTTTACTCATATTACATTTGAGCTTTGGCTTCGACTCTGGCTGGGTGTTAAAATAAATGAGAAGCATTTAGGGTCAAATCCCCATGGCAGCCCAGCATTGGCCACAGTCCGAATCCGAATCGGAATCGGAATCGATATGTGAGCTCTCCATCTCTCCGTTTCCTGGGATATCCGAGTCCTGTCAAGCGGCCTTCATTTAATTGGCAGCATTTGTCAAAAAATCTTATGGCAATGCTGGTAAATTCTGCATAAATTTGAGTGTTGGTCGGGCTACAAAATTAAGACAGGATGGGCGTGGCATAAATCCTTAAACACACATCTGCAGTGGAACGTGTCCAAGTAGGAGAAGCCAAGAAATCGGGTCGCAATTCCACTTTCCTTGCTCTGAGCTCTTTGTGTGTTCCCTGTTTGATGTGTGTTTGTGTGTGGAAAACGGAGGTCCTGGCAAAGGAGAAAAGTTTGTGGAGCACATTTCTCTTGACCTGCTTGGAGGATTGAGATCGTTGAGAGCGAAAGGGAAATGGGATGGAAGTCGTTCGAGGAGCGAATAAAGTTTGCTAAACATTTTGCATTGTGTGCCAAGGCAGCCCTTAAAGGTGATGCTGGGGATAACAGATCGAACTGCGAACATATCTCCCTGATTGACTGACTGCCGCCCCTCTTAATTATCTCCCATTATGAGTTGGGATTAACACTCGATTGCATTTGAGGCGCTTTAATCGATGCTCAACCGCAATTTTGCGATTTCCGTATTCCCCCATGTTCCTCCGGACTCGCACTTCCGGTTCAATTGGCAGACCCCGAAAACGGAAGGATATTGCGCCTTCTGTGCAAATTATGGGCGTTGCCAGTTGATGGGTATTATTAATAAGAGAGGGCAGCATAGCTTCCCTCTCTCTCTGATTTCC